GCGCCGGGCCGGGGGGCCCCGCGCAGCCTCGCTGGGCCGGCAGAACCCTGACTTTAGGCACCCCTCTACTCGGCTGAAAGCAGGAAAGTGGGTTCATTCAGCCTGGGCTGGGACGGGCGACACCTCGAAGCGGGGCCCCTCATCTTGCAGCCGGGATGCCCAGTCCCCTCAGGGCAGCCGAGGGAGCGTCCGCAGGCCCTGCACCCTGAGGAGGTGCAGCGCTGCCCGTTGTGATGCGTTTTCCAGCAAAACTGGGTAGGTCAGTGCGATTTCAGACCGCTTTTATTTGGAACAGAACAGCTGTTTTAAATAAAAGTTTCATTATTTTCACATTATAATGTCATCTTGATCGGAAAAGTTCTTTTGCTTTCCTTCTCCCTGTCAAACACATCGGCCGTCATCCTCAAAACCAAAACCCAACCCCACACCCTCACCCCCATCAACGCCACACGCCCCGAGCCTGCCCGAGGATGGCTGCAGCACAGCCCGGAGCCCCCACGACGATTTCTTTTGCACAACGTAACGGTCACCAGAACCATTTACCAAAAAAATACCTTTTTAAAACAGCAAAACTTTCTAGAAGAAGGACTAGTAGCGGTCCTGTAACGAGTCACCTACAATTTAGAAACGTTTTTTCCTCCGAGGCATTGATCCTCCAGCAAAAGCCAAAGCCAAACTTCCCCTTCTTGCAATTTTCAACATAAGTTCATTTCAGTAAAATACACAGGTTGCACGTCTCAGTATCAGAACATTAATTTCTGCATCAAATTCCTTGAAGGTGACAATATCTGGGAGTCCCGTGAAAGATCAAGAACACGTTAGCTAAGGGCAAAACGGCTGACCACAAAGAGAAGGGGACTTAAAACAAAATTCTCCATGCGATCTCGCTCTAGGTCAAATAGCATTTAAATTAACCATGTTGAGGAAAAAGCATTCACTAAAGATTCAGTGCCTATTTTTAATTCTCAGACCCCAGCAGCCCACGTTCAGGTAACCAAGACCAAAGCTGGAATTCCCGATACCAGCCAATGCTTTTCAAGGCTTCTCTGTACATCAGCAAAAGCAAAACCAGGCACACGCTCAATTACAAACAACTCTACAGGTCCCTTCAACAGTAAACCTCTATTTTTCCTGCAGCTAAGCTACCGCGGTCTCGTTACCACACATAGCCCTCCCCAAACTGTAACGGTGACAGACCCGGCTAATGGGAGGCATTGGTAAGGCGTCTTTCTGACTGCCTGGAAGAGAGACCCGCTGCTACCGGCGCCCCTGCCTCAAACGCCAGCCTTTGCCTGCGTCGCTTTTCTCGACTTCACACATCCATTAGTTGTACCTGGAAACACAGCGGTTATCAGCAACGTTAAGAGCAGACCACAACCAGTGGCCGAGCTTAAAAACACGCAGAGATTCACAGCGGTGCAGAAGCCTGTCTTCATAGACCAGGTGCACGATTTGTATCCACCATCTCCCTTCAGAAGAAGGAAAGGTCAGAACGGATCCAAAGCAGTAACACAATACAAAGGTTCACTGGCAAAAAGACACCGGTTAAATAAATTTTATCAGGATCTTGAGAAATGAGTATGGTAGGGGTATGACTCTGAAAGCTTTGGAAGGGGTGTTAATGAAAGCACACCTTAAAATGAATTATTACAGTGATCAGACATTGCAGTCGCTTACTCTCAACAGTACTTTTATGAGACATATTTATATATCCAATAATTAAATATAAAATCAAGGATGAGTGTCACAAAACAAGGAAATAATAAGGCTCGAAGCCCAGTCGGGCCCCAGATTACCCTTCTAGTCACTGTACCTTTCATTTTTACCTTTAAACATGCTGCTATTCTTACACGTAATAAAGCAATCAGAAAAGTTAATTGCAGATTCCTTGCTTTTGTGAAGCCTCAAACCTACTTCAACTTAGTACAAAAATAGGGGGGAAAAAAGATAAAACATTTGTTTGTTAGAAAGCAGAAAGGGGAAGAGATATTCACAGGCGGTTTGGACTGACAGAACCTAGGAAATAGGGACAACGCCAACAAATTTTCAGACTATCAAAAGGGAGCAGACAACGTTTTTGCTACCTGTTCGGTTTACCAGAATGTGATGTGCTAGCGTTATTCCTTATTTAGAATTCTTGGCAATCAAAAGAAACGCCCTAGGCAACAAGAAAAAACTGCAGTTGCACACTGATCAAACCTTTTTCCGACTCAGAGAGGGTATGCGGGTAAAAAAGCTGAATGTAACAAGTCAACCATGTGCACATCCACACGTACTATACAGTAAGAACATTCAAAAATATTGACATGAGACAGTGATCCTATAGTTTTCCTTTTCTTTTTCAGTTATATATATATATATATAGTTAAACAGCACATAGGAAAACACCACTATAGCTTTCACCGTGGCCAACAGGAAAATTCTGACAAATATAAAAGTGTATGCCTTTAAATTGTTAGATTTCTTCAAAACATAATACAGATAAAATGAAAGAAATATAATTTCTCATCATGTAACAAAAAAAAAATTAAACCCTTGGGAATTTACACAATTCTCAAACATCCAACTTTGCAGTCTTGAACATCTCGATCCCTACTACAGCAGGACATAGTATCACCAACATAAACGAGCAGAATTCCTCGAGAGCAGTGATGCTACGTGGATCCTAACGTGAAATTTCACTGTACTGAAACACGTAACTCAGATTTACATTCAGTATTTTGGAGGAAGGGCATGCGGCAGTCCCTTCACGCTTTATCCTTGCTGGCTGCCTACCCAGGAAGCATTATTGTTATTACTCCAAGAGGAAAGGAAAGAGGCTGGTAAGAGCCAGAAGGGCAAGGCCATGGTGTTGATTATGAAATGCCCTGCTCTTTGGATGAACTGTGAAAAATATTTTGTTAAAAGGCTCCATGTTAAAAATGGTCATCTTAAAAATACAGAGCATTTCTGCCTCTTCTTTTAAGTTCAAAGCTTGGGGAGAAGTGTTTTGCTAGAATTAACTACAGGTTTGCTGTAATAAACATATACGACAATGCCCTACGTAACACAGGGCCGACCACAGACTCCAGACAAACGTGATTGCTTTAGGTTTCAAGTGGTACGCGCGTCTCTGTTTTTGTATAAAAGGAACAGAGACGCTTCTGGAACCTTCGCTGCAGAGCCTTTGCCAGTGTCCAGCTTTTGGGCAAAGGAAATCTTGCCACACTGCAGAGTCACAATCTTGAGGACCAGAACGTACAAACAATCATGATTCAGTGTCTGATCCAGAACTGCTTTCTCGGCTGATTTCAATTTGTAGAGATGGTAAATTATCCAATCGACTCTTTTTTTGCCGAGACTGTTCTTTTTCCTTAATGAGAGCACCCCAAACCCGCTGGAGCTCTGAATCATCTTCCTCTGGAGATGCCACAGAGTTTTCAGGTTTATCTGAAGTCTTTTCTTGTGTCTTCGGAGCAGACCCTAACCGGGTCCATAAATTACCTGATCAGGTGAAAAACAAACATTTTTTAAAAAAAGACAGGACTAGGAGAAATTCTGGAGGAAGTCTGAGGAACCTAGCCTTAAATTCACTGCATCTCTTTAAACTCCTCCCACTCCTCCCACCTTAATGTTTGGCATGGAACTTGCTACGCTTTGAAGCAGTAGTTGAAATTAAAACATGGGAGGCTCAGTGCAGTCCTGTTCACTGTCTCCCATTTCCAGAGAATGCTACGCACAGGTCCGAAGCGCTGCTGCGTTCAATACACTTGTTTTAGTGCCCTGTTTTGACCACAGTTTTAAAGCGGTCCTCTACTTTTAAGCATACAAAAATACTCAGCTCAGCCTACCTACGTGGATGCCCCATCGCTGGCAGTGTTCAGGGCCAGGCTGGATGGGGCTCTGAGCAGCCTGGTCTGGTGGAGGGTGCCCCTGCCCGCGGCGGGGGGTTGGAACCAGATGGTCTTTAAGGTCCCTTCCAGCCCAAACCATTCTAGGATTCTAGGATACGATACATGTATTTAGATTTCAAAGCTCTGAACGAATGTTTCCTAATTCCTCTTTAATTTCACTCAACTGAACAGCCTTCGTGATTTTCTGCTGAAATTTCTCTTCTACTCTAAAATCAAAGGCATTGCAGTATTACACCTTCTCCATAAAACCAACCTGATTTCTTCTCTCTGGTATCAGAGTAGAGGCCTTTTACATCTTGTTTGGGGATTCCTAACCGGCTATGCACATCTGATATTGGCTCTCGACGAGGAGCAGAGGTACTACTTGGAGGTTTCATTTCTGGAGAATGCGGTCTTTTTCCCAGTCTTTGCCGCACATCTAGGGATATTTTCAGTGATTAAAATGACAAAAATCATGATGCATTTACTTTAGTTCTGCCAGCTAATTGCACAATTTGAAGAACTTGAAACTAGACAGATTCTCTGGTTTTATCTTTTCTGTAGTCTTTTCGTTAAGTCTTTCACAATCAGATCTCAGTCCTGGCAATGTCTGCAATAAAATTTATCCAGATTACTTTTTTCTTATTTTTTGGCAATAAATTTGACATTTAATGTTTTCAGGTTGTGCTATGTCCAGAAGATCGAAAAAGTAAGTTATTCCGTGGCTTGCTGCATTTCTGTTTTAGCAGCGCAGCGTGTATGCATCCGGCACGAGGTATGATTATACAAAAATTGGTATGCCTTCCACGATTCTTAATAGATACCTCGCTTTAGAATTCTAATACTGCTTGATATTTTGCAGAATAAAATGAAAACCAGAATATAAGAATCCTAAATATATTGATACTTAAACTTCAGAATGCAAGACTCGCATCATGAGTTGTCTGGTTTAGCTAGATATTCCTAGTCTTAAAGAGGGTTCAAACAAAAACATACAAAGGAAGTTACAGGATTTGTGTGTCAACTTGTCAGAACCCCAAAATGTGCAGGAGGGGTAAAATATACTAACATAACTTCTACGTTACATTGATACAGGAAAGTATCTTTCACTTATCAGTCAGAGATAATCCTCTGGATACTACGTACGTCAGAAGTACCTGAAATTACACACACCTGAGTCGAAAAAGCAAGTCAATTAAGCCCCAAAATAAACTCTGCCAACTGAAAAATACGTCCATATTCATGTAATACACGTTCTTTCACATAAGTAGCTAGTGTTTGACGTTTCATTTTGTATGAGCCTCCCCCCCCCATGCTATGTTTCTCAGAGTCACACAGAATCTCTGCCTCAAGGAGTGAGCAAATCAAAAAAGTGGGGGGAAATAGAAACAGGCAAATGAGTTGGATAAAAATAAATGTCACTCTCTCACTCAAATGTACGTCATTTTTCCCCAAAGCAATCCCCAACGCAGTCTCTTGGTGAGGAAAAATTAACTGTATGGATGCCGAAACTGCTGCTGAACAGAATTCCCTCAGGATCGTCAGCTGCAGTGTGAATATATCCATTGTAACGAGCCAGTCACAGTTCTGCACAACGTAAGAGTTTAAAATTACCTGATTTTACAGTGCTGTTTGGCTGACGTGGCCCAGTATTATTCTGACGTTTTTCTTCTAGCAGTAGTCTTACATCTGCAACTTTCTCTGATGATCCTTTACTGCCAATCCGATTTTTGATGTTACTGGTTGCTATGCTATCTGCTCGCATGGAATTCCTACATAAAATAATAATAGATTTAATGTCCCTTAAATGAAATGAAATCTAGTATAGTTCTTAAGTCTTCTTGTATGTAAAACTACATCATAGAAAACAGTAATATCAGGATTTCTTTACTGAGAAACAGAGGTAAAAACATTATTTAGAAGAGCACGTGTTCCAGTCAGAATCCAAAGTTCAGCAATAATCCCATCAATACCTCAGTATCCATTTCAAGGCAGGTATCGGGTTTGTCTCCTTAGGGCTGTGCCTCTGGGTCAAAATTCAGAGCAGATAAGCAACCTCAAAATTGTTAAAGGCCTTGACATTACAACGAAGTATAATCATGCTACTGAAAGGACGCATGTTAAAGTTATTAAAATAACCTACAATATAAGCGATTTTGGTTAATATGCCCATAATGAACATAAATTCCTTTTTGTCATCAACACTTAAGGGTTATTCTTCTTCCTGAGAAAAGAGGAAGGGGTAAAGGGAAAAGAGAAAGGAGTTCTTTCTCCCTGGCCTAGCTATGAAATGCAAGAAGTTAATTGTGCTCGCTTGCATACATTTCCATTCATTCCACTGTGAGCTTCATTATTATCAAGGAGGGTTACAGAAATCCGCAAAGGAAGCTATATTTTAAGAATGTTAATTGTAATTAAAAGCCTGTATCACTAGTTTCTGCATTTTGTATTTCTTTTTAAAATATCTACTACAAAATTATGTTAAGAATTGAAAAAGTAGCTTCAACGGTTTGTCTTTAAGCTTTGACAGCTCTGTCAGTAATTAAAATTTAGAATGGCTTTTCACTGATACTTGTAAATAAGAAACTTTTACCTAATATTTTTCAGTTGTGATTCCACCTCATCTGCGTACATCGTCATTTTCATGCTCTTTTTGGGAGAGGGTGTCGATATCATTTTCAGTTCAAGGTCATAGTCCATTTCATCAGAGTCAGACGCACTAGCACTGGATCGTCGTGCTGCACTGCGGTCTCGGGACTGTTTGAACGCTTGCAGTTCATCACGGTACTCTACCACAACTCTGTCATCTTCATCCATATCCTGATCTTCTTCCTCCTCTTCTTCCTCCTCAATAGGCTCCTCAGGAACATTTACTAAGCCTGTAGCAAAACAAACTGATTCTGATAAACTGAAGTTTATCATTCATATAAGGTGCCTTAAAACCAAGGGGAAAAAAAAAAAGGTACTGTAATTAATGACCCACTACAAACGAGTCTTTGTAGTTCTCTAAGGCTAAAGAGAGAAAGTATTCTGCGAAATATTCTAGAGTGGAATCCATATTACAGAATAGCCTAAGTGGAAGAAAATTGCCACAGGAGAAAAATAGCCCATGGCGTTCCCTATCTCAGCAGCCTGCTCAGGCATAAAGCTGACCCGACTACATAAGGTACAACTGCCTCCCGGAGTAGGTGCAGTTCACGCTTCCTGAACCAAGGATAACAATTCCTATGATCTTGCAGGGCTTAACGTGACAACCGCTGGCTCCGCAATAATCCTTTCAAGTCCTGCGAGCAGCAATACTAAAGATACGTGCGTGCTTTTTGGTATGAATTTATCACATTGTGCTGGTTGCGGCTGGGGTAGAGTTAATTTTCTTCCCCGTAGCTGGTATGGGGCTGTGTTTTGGACTTGTGCTGGAAAAGGTGTTGATAACGCAGGGATGTTGTTTTCATCGTTGCTGAGCAGTGCTGACACAGAGTCAAGGCCTTTTCTGCCTCTCCCCCCACCCCAGCAGCGAGCAGGCTGGGGGCACAAGGCGCTGGGAGGGGACAGGGCCGGGACAGCTGCCCCCAGCTGCCCAAAGGGCTGTCCCCCACCACAGGACGCCATGCTCGGCAGGTAGAGCTGGGGGAAGAAGGAGGAAGGGAGGGACGTTCGGAGCGATGGCGTTTGTCTTCCCAAGTCACCGCTAGGCGTGATGGAGCCCTGCTTTCCTGGGGATGGCTGAGCACCTGCCTGCCGATGGGAAGGAGGGAATGAATTCCTTGCTTTGCCTTGCTTGCGTGCGCGGCTTTTGCTTTCCCTATTAAACTGTCTTTATCTCAGCCCACGAGTTTTCTCACTTTTACTCTTCCGCTTCTCTCCCCCATCCCACCATGGGGGAGTGAGCGAGCGGCTGCGTGGTGCTCAGTTGCCAGATGGGGTTAAACCATGACACGTATACTGATTTAAATATAAATCGACAACTTAAATTTAGTCATCAGCAGCGTGCAAGTATCTTTTCAGAAAGCAGTACCTCATCAACATGCAAAATCTTCCATGAGATTTGATACATCCATGGCTGTATTTTTAACACACCACTCATATGAAACTTTGACACTGTATTTGTCTCACGTCAAAGGTTTTTACACTCATTATTTTTCTAATGCACACCCCCCACCTTAGGGAGTAGATGAAGATATTCAAGCCTAATTAATAGAATTTTTCTAATCTTTATTGTTCTACATCTACAGCTTGCTTTTTCATAGAATGGAAGAATTGACATAGCAAGTATGACAAACTGCCAAGATGTTTAAAGAAGTTATGTCTTCTTGTTGCCCTTGATGCTATAGCCCCTATGTCCTAAGTTTGTAAAAGAAAAATGCCACATAAAAAGCAGCAGCTATCTTGGTAAGCCAATGAGCAGCGTGAAGTTTCTGCCTCAGTTGTTCCCTGCGAACTCTTTAAAATGTGATTCAGTTATAGACATTTTTTTTTAAAAGTACACTTCACTTCCACGCACGGCAGGGGATTACACGAGGCACTGTTTCAGGTCCTTTCCAGACCTCCACTCCCCAGCTGTTTTCTTACAGGGTTGACATCTTGGCATCAATTACCTGAATGACGATGTTTATAAGGAGGAGTCAAGCCAACATCATCCCCGATAAGCGTCCTTTTCTTTATCACATCTCGATGGATTCGACGTGAATGGTATCTTCGTTTCCTGAAAGACCATAAAAAGAATGACATTCCTGTCACAGAAAAGGCATCACGACTGAGCCATATTCAGTCCTGCATTAAGCATGTGCAATTATCGCTCACTTTAACAGCAGACGTACGCGTATGTCAGAGATCTGTGCTGAATGTTTTGAATATAAACATTCTTTATTTCCATGAGAAAATACTCCCCTTGCAAATTCATAGTCACATTGCAAAAACATTATTTACGCATAAGAAGCATCTACATAAACTGAAAAGAAAGAAAATCCACAAATTAAAACAGTTTTAGACTATCTTGTCCAATTACCTGCAACGTTCCAATTCCTCTATCCAATACTCACCAAGAATTGCTAAGAATCCCCTTCATGCCTCCGTAATTTGGATTGCCGTATTTCATGTAATACTGGCTTCGCCTGGCAGCTCCCAGCTCTTTTTTGTCATCTGAAGAAAACGTAAATTAAAGGAATATTTCCCTCTTAGAATATACCTTACAACACCAGCACAAAAATAAATAACCGTCCAGTCAAAGACACAGAGAGTGAAAGTAAGGCTGGATACACCTTACAGATCAGCATTACTTCCGTCTCCTTCACGAAGGATACCATTTTGCTGACACCTCTGAAATTTCTCCTACCACCACAGTTTTATTTGTGTCTAGAAACTTAATTCTAGAGAGACTGAGTTTCTACCTATCAGCTTAAGAGAGCACTACATCCCACTGCAACTGCTGGAGGCTGTACTTACCTTACTCATGACCTTTCTGTTCTTTATGGATGTGTCACTTTCCACATGGCCCAGAAATCAGATGGAATTTCGTTTTACTCATAAATATAATTTAATACCTCAACTGTATTTAGCAATAATTTCCACTAATACCTCATCAGCATCTCCAATAATTTTCATATTTATAAAAAGTGAAATTCACCTCTGTGGAGAAGGGCACCATACAGCCTGTTCTACGGTACTGGGAAGAACGCCCTGAGCCCAAGGTAAAATTTTTATGTACAGTAATTCTCATACAACTTGAACTGAAGTTGATTCACAGAGTAAATGGGGATTTATTGCAAAATCTTAATACCTAATGATTAGCAAAAAACCTAACAATTTTGCAAATAAAAATTAGGTACTTCAAGTCATTAATTAGTCAACAAATAAAATTACAACAAGCGATTAACTCATTATGCTTGTTAAGCTGTTCATTTACCTTTAGTAGCAAATCTCATGAATAGCTTGTTTCCTTTAGCCAGTTTATTGGCAGGGCGAAGATCATTACGCAGGAGAGAATCCTCTTCTACCTGGGAGAGGGCATCCAACTTTGGGGGGCAAAAAAGGTATTTTGGACTCAAAAATGAAATTACTGTTGAACAAAAATGGATTGCTTACAGAGAAGCAATCAACTGATTATTAAGAAAGTTACTTTTCAAATTATGTTCAAATGAACTCTGCTTTTTTTCTTGACAAACTAATGTGAATTTTTAAAGTAATTTGCCCTAAAGATTTAAAATATTTCCTTCTCTTCCTTCTTAACCTTATCTCAGATTATTAAATCCAATAATTGTCAAATAACACTGTATTACCGACGGAAATGCAGAAAATAAATAGCGCAACTTGGACACTGAAAAACAACTATTTGATTTTTTTGCTTGTTTCATATCTGAATGGTTTTACTAACAGGTTCTCATGCCCTCACACAATGACTGAAAGGCTTTTTTTTTTTTCATTTATATCTGCTTTATAGAAACTAAAATTCAGACTTCCATGACGTACGAGCATTCACTGAGCCATTCCTAAAGAAAATACTAATCACACCTATTATATATTCAGCCAGCGAAGATTAAATCGCTTACAAAACATCAGTGCGTATGCCGATTCCCACACGTCTCTGCGGCCAGCCTAAATCCTGTTTGTCTCTAAGCACTGCCTCCGCTGCTGAAAGGCCGTTGCCTTCCATTGTTGCTCTTTCATTGCCTCCTCTCAGCAGAGCAGAGCAGCCAGCCTAGCTCTGACGTGCTGGATGCCCTAGCACTCTTCAAAATCTACTTTCACAAAACACTCTTACGTAGCTATTCTCACCAACAGCATATCTGCACTTCATGTCATTTCCCCACCTCATTTACTTTGATAATTAAATTGTGAGTTGCAAATATATATGGTTAAAACTATAATGTTATAAAGACTTTACACCAGTCAGAGCAAAACTTCTGTAATCGTGTTTTCACTTTCCTTCTGTACTGACCTCAACGTCACTTGGATTGTCATCCTCAACCTCGCCTTCTTCTGTCTCATCATCAGAACTTTCCTCCTGTTTTTCTAAGAAGGAAAATAATTGGGAGGGGGGGAAATAACCTCCATTTTAGTGTCAGTCACATTTGATTATTATTACCTACATTCTCTGAAATGAAACTGAAGGTGTGATCCTTTCTTCTGTGCAGCCTAGAGAATAATCAAAACGGTAGACGTCTACAGAAATTCGAAGCACGCATGAGCACAGAATAACATTAAGTAGACAGCCTCTGTGCAGATAACTGCCTGCGGCAGCACACATGGATTATTAATTCTTTGAAAGCAAATGAAATTGCACTGCATTTCAGGGTATGACAGAGATCAGCAAAGGCAAGACTGTAAAAGGCATATAAAAGTCTATTTCCTTCAGCCTCCCTTTAAAATGCTGCAAGTACCTGCAAGTATCCAATACTAACGATGTAAAACAGCTTATTATTCAAAAGCGCAGAAGCTTCCGAGAGAGAAAAAAAAACCTTAGTGACTTAATTTCGAAGTGAAATAACTAACAGAAGAATGCACGCTTCCAGAACTACTAAAATTGTGAGATGCTTGCATAGATTTTTCAGGGCTCTTTTTAGCTCAGAGTAAGAAAATTGACATTGGAATTATTTTTTTTCTCCAAACAGTCCTCAGGAAAAAGGAAAAAAAAACCCAAGTAATGAATATGGACCGCTATCAACATATACCAATATCATTTGCAAAGACCTCAAAATACTTCATAGCCATAAGACTAAAATAAAACCTCTTTTCTATTTCAGAGTTCCTTATCTTAATCTCATCCGACAACAGACTTGAAAACTTAAAATAGAGAGCAGTAGCTGTTCAAAAGATCTTGAAGATATACCCAAGTTAAAAGAAAAGCGTAAAGCACAATTAACCAAACTGAGACCAAAGAGAGAATTCAGGTGAACAAATGAGCCAAATTCAAGCCTGAATAATTAAGTTCCATTAGGGACAGCATTTAAGCACTTTTTTCCCCCGAAACGATAAGCTTGTCACACTTCTCACAGTAAAGACTAGTCTCTTGCTTCCCTGAATGCCTAAACAGCCCTCAAATGCTTATCTGAAGAAGGAATGCAACTAAGCCAGACTACTCCAGTGTATCTGTATGCATCTCACACCTTAAGATGTAATTGAACAGCTTGCACTTTATCTAATATCCCGCTTTTCCAGATGAACAGGAGTAATTTAGGTGGCATTTTTATTTTAAGATGTGGTGCAACGATGACGCAATATGTAATTTGTAGCCAACAAGATTAAATACATGTATTTATGCTCCATTTAAACAAGACAGTCACTCATCTCCAAAAACTTCATAACAAGTCTTACTTGAAGCATTATCAACATTTGCCCAAAAATTAAAGTCACCCGGACTGTTGAGGAGCTACCACATTGTGGAGAAAAGCAATGCAAAAAGGGGATGAGCTAGAAGGATCCACAAGCTTAACAAAGCCCTAAAGCCCAAACTTTCCAGAAGGGCTTTTGGTAACACTGCAAATATTTAAGAGAGAGATTGGCTATTTGCATTTTGTTCATCTAGCATGTTTAAGCAAAATCTACGGGAGACTTAATAAATACAACATCTCTCTCTGCTTTGTGCTGTGTGGTACGGTACTTGGAACCACAGCAATTTATCACACCAGCCTAACAGCAAAACGGTCCTAAGGTAGCAAAAGATTTTTAATTTACACCCGTAAAATAAGTTTACAATTAAGGCAGTCAGGCACCAGATTTATCACAACATTATATGTACTTTTGCTGCTTTGCTCTTTTATAGCTGACCTTTCAGTGTGCTTCTTTCTTGAAATTATAATAGCCAAATTTACAGGCGATATCCACAGCGGTGAGGCGATACGCTGCCACATCAGTGTGAACGATACGCTTGAAGGATGGTGGTGTATGAAGAAAGGAATCAACTGTGGTATTTCAAAAGTAAGACATTTTCTTACACCTGCTTTTTCCACACTTAGAAGCCATCCTTTTACTGCCTTCGTACGCACATCACACAGACTCAGTTCTGTGCAACACGTACCACTATAAATATCATCGCTGAATATGACCCCGCATCTAACATGTTCAGTATCGACTGAGTTACTGCTTTTGGTCTAGCTCCAACCCACCTTTTAAGAAGCAGCTTCTTCAAAAGGTTTCCAAGATGAAAGCCTTTTTTTAAAGTGGCAGAATACATTTACCTGAAACTATATGATAGAAGCTCCTTCAGTACTTTAGATTACGCAGTACCCAAGCACAAGTTTAAAGTTTCGTTGATTTAACTAGATGATGTCTATATATGCATATCTCCGACTACCTTTCTTGGCTTTTTCAGCTGTCTTCTCTTCATTGTTTTCTCTGCTTTTTGTTTTCTCCTGATCAGGCAAGGAACTCATATTTATTAGAGCCCGTGTTGCTGTTACTTCATCAAGCCAGACCACATTACCTATGACATATATAAACACATACAAAAACAAAATGCAGTTTGTATAATCAAGGAGTCACATACATTGCCTTTCTGGAGAGGAATTACTAACAAAAGTTCAGAAGCGCTCTTATATAGCGACACAACAACAAAGTAATCAGATACCCTTCTGCAGGGGAAGTCGTGCTTTAACACACTTGCTAAGCTGGAGGACACACAGCTTTCATCACATGTCACCAAACACACAACTGATCAAACCCAAAATCATTGAAAAGCACAACCATATATATTAGAGACTGCTTCCTGAGCACAGAAATTAGGACACTGAATCAGGGTCAGCATATTTCATGAATGTGTTAGCACACGAATGCTATTGGGGGGGGTGGGGGGAGAGAAAAAACAGGAGGGGAAAAAAAGGAGGGGGGGGGGAAGAAAGAAGCCTCGATTTTTTTTCCCTTTGGCAATTTAACAGAACCTTGGACTTCGTTGCAGAATTCTGTTAATCTTTTCCAAAAAGCAGGAAAATAGGGGAAAATAGGAGAGACTGCTCGAGCACAGATTATAGCATACACAGGTCAACAATATGATTCAGTACATGCCTTAAGTATCAGCAGATGGTACTAAAATATAACTAAAATAACTTCTTAGGCCAATTAAAAGCATTTTATAGATGCCAAAATTGAAAGAGCTAAAACTGGTTATAAACAGGTTTTGAACAAAAGCTTTCTGCATGGATGCATTCAGTGCAAACAGAGCAACAAATGCCATTTACTGCTCTGCTGTTAAGCAGAGTATATTCAGATATCAAGAAAACTATAGTGTCCAAAAATAAAAGATTCTCTCTTCAATTACTTGAACAGACAAGATTTGCAAGGTGAAGAACACCCAGATACTAACTGCAACGACTGGCTAGCTAATAACCTTTCATTTATGTATGCCTACCTGCTCTTCACATACCCAAATTTTCAAAGCCTTTATCATTTTATGTTCATCAGTTTCAAACACAGAATACAGTCTAAATTCACCTTTGCACTAAGACATCGTGAGATGTAATTCAGTTGGGAATGTTAACATTTTTACCATGCTGCGATGCAAATTTATGCTGAAAAGACAATGCTTTTTCTTGGAATTATCACCAAATGTAGTTGGCACGTTAACTCAGAGCATGAAAATTAATCACTAAAAAAAGATGTGTTTTAACTATAATTGGGTAAAGTGCTCTTACTATTCTGAAGCCTGCGTTTTTGCACTGCAAGTTCACTCTGTTTCCATGCCAAATTCACGCATGTAACGCTTAAGAAAAAGGATAATCAGACAATTTTAGAAATGCAGCCTCAGATACAGGTTAACCTGTGCGCTTGCTAGCTTACGCATCACCACCGGTTCACCTAGCAGCTCTTTACTGCAACTGCCCACCCAGGGCTCACTGCGTTTCAAATTTTCTGTCAGCTTGTGGCCACATATCAAGCCGTCACACAGCGACTTGAAGGTTTCCAGTATTTTGTAGCATACCTGGCACACGAACATAATTCCTTCAGGGTCGTTCCAGGGAACCATGCTACTAATTCTCAGGTCTCAACCACGCTCATCAATAAACCAGTTTCCAGCAATCCCAATCCAATTGGAAAACCTGCACTGGCTCCTTCTTCTTCTATGATTTCTGTCACAGCATTTCTAGCCGCATGACAATCTTGGAGCCTTCCAGCTCCATGATCCAGTGCCCAACCGCAGCAAACAGCTCTTGTACAGTCTTTTGTATCACTGAAGAAGGCATGACTGTCAACAACCTTGTATCGTTCTGGCAGTCTCACTGCATGCTCGCTCCCCAATCCAATCCAATTCCTTTTCCAATCTATGTAAATCACATTCAGCTGCTACCTTCTTCCACCCACTAATTTCTCCTGCAGAATGCACTAAACAATTATGGCAACAAGTCTGCTCCTTCACAGCACAAAACCATACCAACCTGCCTGACTGCCACAGCTCAATCATCTTCTCTCAGAACGTCATCTTTTGTGACACTCACAAGCAGGTATACGATTCATGTCAGGATGTAAGCAGCACAAAATTTTAGACTTTTTTTTTCCCCACTTAGAGACCTGAAAGTTATTCTGTGCTATCTCTTTCCAATAATAAATACTCAGCCAGATAACGGGTTTGATTTTCACCATGTTATTAATTCTTTCCTTCTAAATCTCTTTTGACTAAGGCAAATGACAGGGAAACTGAGACAAAGATCGGTGACTTTGAAAGCCACTAAGACATCTGAGGTACAGCTATGACCGATATTTAAAAAAAAAAAAAAAAAAAAGAGTAAGAACTACAGACAAAAGACTCCGTTTACTTACATGATGTATCATCTAACCACTCAATATGAGCAGGAGGATACTCCTTGAAGTAGGCAAAGATGTCCTGCGTACTCATCTCATCCACCCCACAAATGTAAATTGTGTCCAGTCTCACTTTAGGAATTGCTATAAAGAGGAAGAGATACAAACCTGGTACTTATTTCTGTAGAGCAAGCTTTTATATTAGTAACATATGGGTTTAGAAAGCAAACATTTTAAATAAGCTAAAGGGAAGCTACTGAGAGCAAAGTATGATGTACACCATTCTAAAGCACCATAACTTGACCTATTATTCCACAATGCAAAACTTTAATAAATTGAAAATTAAAAAGAGGTAACATTACAAGCATTGGTAGATGTAGGTACTGCATAGCAATCAAACTGCCTTAAAACCGTTTGTTTTTAAATGCTGCCAAAGTACTACCATTAAGTACTAGAGAGCCAGAATACTAACGAGGCCTGCGACCAGGACACGTGTACAAAGCACTTCCCCTTGCAACAGCTGACGGAGAGCTGCTACAGGCCACGGCTTAGGGGGTCCAAGCTGCCAGTTGGAAAAAAAAAAAGCCTCGAGAACTAACTGGATGCCGAAAGCGCCAATCTGTTGTGCACACATCTCCTGGCTGAGCTGCTCACACTCCACCATGCCCAGCTTGCCACCTAGGAGCACAGGCGCAGTCAGTCCAGCTCCGCTCTGCGTACAGCAGAATCCGATCTCACTGTGCATGGCACAGAGTCCTCCGCTCATACACAAACAGCGACCCAGGCCTTTTCAAAGAATTTAAAGATTCTTAAAGCAGCACTGATCCAGAAGATGGATCTTGGACACGCAGCACTAGGTGCCGCTGCCAAACAGTAAATAACGTACACGAAAAACGTTTTCTTCTTTCTGGAGTTGGTAAAACGAGGAGCAAAATGGTAACTGTCAAGTAGTTTAAGAAGTAATGATATTAAAAGAAAAATGTGGTGGGAAAAAAAAAAACCAAACTGATTTCTTTTGGCAGCGACCTGGGAAAACCTCTGGGATGCAGGAAATATAGAATAAATTAAGTAATGGAACTGTGAGGAAGTAAACAAAGGGATCTTTTCTTCTTGACTGTGGGATAAACTTGTACCTTTCTTCATCATGTCCCGATCCAGCGCCACATTCCTTTGGGCGAGATTCACTTCAGCTCGAAAATGAAAGCGTTTTGCTCTTTGTTCCTTTTTCTCAATCGCTTCCTGCAAAATGCAAAACAATGCACTCAAAACAGGAATCACAGCAGCATTCCCAACAAGAGATTTAAAATAAAATTCCCTAGATGGCAACAATCTATACTAATAATTCTATTAATTCTAAAGAGACCTGTATGTTTCAGAATGCTGAAATAATCCATTGAAACATTTCTGTGCCATGTAACAGTTTTCACATAGGTCCAGCAACACAACTGGAATGAAGATGCATGGAAAACAAGCTATCTCGGACAGTGCTCAGACTCCATGATGGAACAGTAACATTATCTTTTCCTTCCTAACAAACGTACAGAGGCCGTGCTCAAAAAAACCTCTCTTGGAACAAGCATTTCTGCCACATGGAAAATTAGTCTTTTAAGAGATTTTTCCCTATCTGTTTTTTAAATATATACAAAAGTGTAAACTTGTCTCTCTGAGCATGACTTTAACAACACTACCTGGAGTGCTGACTCTAGAGATCTCACTTAGACTGGCAATTCAAGCTGCTTTTAAGTAGCTCATGAGCAACAGCTTATGTGGATCTTGTGCAGTTTTTGAAACTGACTGAGAAGCTCCTTATTCTACAGAATTTATTAGGAAGAATTATAGATTTTTGGATGTTCCTAACCAAAGTCAAATCTGGAACACAAACTGTGATTAGGCAAAAACTGCCACCAACGATACCCAAATAAACACGGGCTTTTTACTAGTTTGTAAAGATTGCCAAAACATCTTTGACCACATTTCTTAAAGTTTTTCAGAGCTGCATCATTAAAGAACGTTACGGAAGATGACAGCTTTCCCCTAACTAGGGAAACTTCAAATTCTTTACCGGATTACAATAACACAAGGCAGATATTGAAGCCAAAAAGCTGATTTTCAGTCTTCATCTGGAATCCTTTTTGTACCCTTTGATAAGCACAATCTTCTGAGCTTCAGTAACGCACAACGGGAATTCATGTCATTTGTCAACACGCTGTTGTGGTGGGGATTCATATTTGTGAGAACACGTAAAATCGTATCAGGCCTATAAAGTATATGACTGGATGCTTTTTCTCTGCTACCAAATGCTAGACACAGTGGTCAATCGTACAGTATGAAACAACTGCCAATTTGGTATCAAATGTACAGAGATGAGCTGTAGGATTACATTTCTGAAGTTCCACAGAATTATGTAACTTTAAGTTATTTAAATGCAAGAGCTGTTCACATTCTCCAAACTATGCCTTAAATAATTAAACAATAAGATGCCCTTGGAAGATACAAGGCAACGAAACTAGATTTTCCTGCCAAGCGCTCGTTCTTCCTTCTGTCACTCACCTAAGAGGAAAACCCGCAGCTGACTTGTCTCAAAGCGCTTTGTTGTGCAATATTGAGTGGCATCACGGCAATTTCGATAGAAACATTTTCAGCTTTTGGCACACAAATTTTTGTAACTTAAAAATGCTAATTCTCACAGTTTACAAGAAATATCAGGTCCTGATGCAGGCCACAACCAACAAAAGGAGAATTCACTAGTTACTGAAAAATGCCAGCTATCTGAACACGGGGCCAAGCTTCTGCGCATGCTGGGAAAGAAATAAATGAAACAGTTCCTCCTTTCCAGTAGCAATAATTAGAACATGTTGAAGAACCATAGCGCAAAAATTACCTTGGAGGTTACATCTATCCCAGTAATGAAACTTCCAGCTTTGTTTTCATATCTCCTACTAGTGTCCTGAAACAAAGAAAAATGGTGGTGAAATCTCAATGAACACCAAAAGCAACACACTTGCTATGCTGAAAAAAAAATCTGGCCATTTCTACAACACATACATCCTCCTTCCCTTGATCCTTACTCCAAGCTACATCCCTAGGTAGACAGGTACACAAGCAGTAACTCTCGCTGATGTCAGTGAAGGTAAAAGCATACGAACTGAACCAAACTTCCTTTACTACAAGGATTCTTTCCTTTGGCAAAATTTAGTTTCTGTCTCTGCCACTGCTAAGGGTTTTCTTTACTCTCTCTCAGCAATACAGGGGAAGTCATTGAACACCCTTCCTAACTATAAACTTCCACAATTTTGGTTTTGGGTATAATTTCCTTATAAAACATGAACAGATTTGACAGCGATACCTGACTCCCGAACTGTCAGTTTGCAGCTTTTAGTCTCAGAAGTCAGAACACCAAGCCATATCCACAATTAAACAAGTAACTTTTTATTCCTATCATTATTTCAAACCCAACTTCCAAATACCAGGCAGATGAAACGTTACTGTTTTGACACGATCCTACTGATAAAGAGTAAAAACGGAGAATGACGTGGGGAAAAAAATTACAAGTTTCGTTTCCATCAGTCAGGACTGCTGAACTCACAAGACTGCACTAAACCACGCAGACCCTGGACCAATGACCCAGTTCTGTCCCTTCCATTGTACACATATGTAAAAATGGCACCTCTTCATTCCGGCACCCTCAGGACCATCACCTGGCAAAAGTTTGGAGCTGGAAGAACCAGCTGGAAGAAAGTCTTGCTTTTTTCAGGAGAAAACGTGTTCTTTATACTCGTGCTGCAATAATTATTTTGGCTAAAGGACTTTTTCTAGAAAGTAGGCCAGCCTCAGTTTAGAAATACCAAAGTACACACAATCTAACTGCTTTTCTTAGTAACAGCATCAAAGTTTGTCTAAAGCTGCCAAATGTTTAGAGCTATTAAAAAGAAAAGCAAAATAAGCATTATTTTTTAAGTTAAAAACCCCCACTGTCTAAGGTTGACTCATGGAGCACAGGGAAGTACAATAGGCTGCTGTCTCTTAGGCCACGCATTTGGTCGAAGCTCGAGCACGTTGGTAAATCAGCTAAGTAGAGATTAGTTTCTCAAGTAATTTCCACACCAGTTTTGAGAGCAAAAGATGACTTAGGAGGTTAGAAGAACTCTGACCCATTTTTATGTGTTAAACCTGATGCTATTAAAACTTATACAGGAACAATTAGCAAAAATGAGGCGGGGGGGCGGAAGAAAATCTTCAAAACCCACCCACCAGAGCCCAGACCCCCAGCGCCTCCGACTCGGGTCTCCCGCCGTCACCTCCCTGCTCCAGGTGTCCCCTACATTTCTCCTCTCAGGCGCTCCTTTTACACTCTCCTATCCGCAGCCTTCCTCTACAGCCCATCACTACGCCCCAAACCCTCTTTTCCACCACCTCCTTTATTCCCTTCGCTCCGAGCACATCCTGGCCGCCCCCCCCTTGCAGCCTGCCCCCAAACTCCCCTCAGACACCTCCAAGCCCCCTCACGGCCCCAGTCCCCCCCA